CATCCATACACCTTCTTTATGGAGTTTTCCCATATTCCTTAGAATACATATTGTTTCATGAGAGACATGCAAATCCAGGGCCATTTCACGAGTGTGTTGTCTTGGGTTAGACTCAACAAGTATTTTCAGAGCATCAATACCAATTCCAACATGTCGGCCCCTGCCATCACAGTTTTTAAGGCTAAAGTCACCTGAACAAAATTTGCTGAACCATCATTGACATTTACAAACGTTCAAAATATTTCCATAAACTTATTTGATATTCTTTGTGGCTGCAGAGGTATTGTTTTCCTTCTTATATTCAAACAGCATTACATGTCGAATGTGTGTCTCGTCGTGTGCCATCACTGTAAGAGATTAGAGTATACCAAACTTTACACATTATATAGGCTACACTAACATGATGTTTAGTTGGTTCATTTAACTATTATACGTGATATACGTTTTGGTAATGAAACGCAACATTAATTTCTTGATGACCTATAAATTGCAGGACCATCTGAGACAGATGCTTTTTAGTTCTGGAACTGAGGATTTTCAAATTTTACCTATTCATAAGACGTGAATATGAGTTCAATGCTAAAAAGTAAATGTGAAGTTTATTCTGTCATTCAATTTATTACTTATTAAGTTAAACCAGTTTTTGAGAATTTTCCTCTTCAACAGTTATCTTGTCAAATGATATTTTTTATGCAACATTAGTATGTGTGAATATCAGTTTTGTTTTTTTTTCCATTTTTATACTGCAAAGTTGATCATCATTATTAAGAAATTTCTTGAATTGATTATCTTCATGCAACATTGTGTGAAGTTCCCTAAATAATAAGGAAGTATGTGATCTTCTTGTAATGTTATTGGACATTTCCTAAAAATATGGAAGTTTATTTGGTTTGACTGCTCTTGCTTTGTTCAAATTAGAAGAAAGATGAAATAGAAACTCATTATTGGATTATGTCTTTATGTTTGAAATGAATATCCTCATATCATAACCAAGTAACTAATGAAGAAGAAAGATGAGTTAGAAACTCGTAATTGGACTATGTCTTTATGTTTGAGATTGATAACTCTCATAATACAGCCTGGTAGATAATGAAACAACTACACTACAATTCCTTTGTTGGCAGAATCTTCTCACTTATTAGTTTGTTTTCACATATACCTTCCTACATATGTGACATTCTGGGAAATATCAAGGCTCTGATGAACTCAAAGTAGAAACTGCCACTCAAACTATTTGGTTACATTGCAGTAGGTTATTTACTGTGCAAATATATAAAATAAATAAAATTTTGTCTAGCACATGTTCACTAAAAAAAACTGCAGATTTGTGAAACAGGAAGACAAGTGACACTTGTAATTCGTCTTGTCAGTTGTGTTCTAGAGTAACTGAACAGCCTGTGTGGCTTTGATGAAAAAGAGAGAATTATTTAATGGTCGTATAACCAACAATGTAACAAACATTTGTAAATATGTTTGATTTATTTTTAATACAACATCTTTAAACAACTGTGCTGTGTTTCTGTTTATTTGTAGTTGAAATTTATTGCCAAAAAGTTATAGACACTTACTGTAAAAAAATCTGGCCTTACAAAACCTGACAGTGGCGAGCCAGCCAGGATCTACAGTGGTAGACAAGAGTAGAAGAAGACATAAACAACAGTGGCAGAGGCCTGTATCATACAGCTGTAGTTGTGAAAATATTGTAGAGGTCACAACCA